ATTATATGCTTTTTTTCTTTATTCAAAACTTTGAACATGTTCATGAACTTTGAACCTAGGTTCAATAGGAACACTAATTGCCAGAATCGACAATAATGGTTCCTGTGTAATTAAGGCTATTACACAGCTGTTGGAGTTCACATGCCTTGTTGTAGATTTGGGAATCAAGCCAAGTTGATAGAGTGGTTATTTTGTAGAAGATTGTAGAAGTGTTATTAAAAGAATAGGTGTTGGAGTTGTTGAAATTAAAGCTAAAGGAAGGTGAATTCCTGTCCTTTAAATATCCATTGAAGTGGGTGTTTGTGCTATAAGATTGAAATAACTTTTCTATTTTATTCAACCCATGCTTGTTTCTTGTGTTTCCAACATGCTACAATCTGTTTACATGTGTTTCATTTTGCATTTTTCACATGTTTTGCAATTGTTTCAGCTGTAGCTTGGCAATATTTGGCAAAACTTGACAAAAATTTTTGGCCTAGCATGTGTTTGAGCATTTTCTTTGTCTTTTCTTTTTTAAAATTTGTGAAATCTACCAAACTTCTATTTTAGTATATCTAAAATTAGCTACTATTTCTAATTTGTTCATCTATATCTAAATTTGTAAATCATATTATTATTGTTTGTGATTTTCTGTTTCAGCTATGTGATAATTTTCTGTCTTGAGAAAATTTTTTTTATTGTTTTTAATTCTATTTATATTCTTGTTTTTCTGTGGTTTGTTTATTAAATAATTAAATATAATTAATATAAAAAAAAAAAAAATCAAAAATTATAAAAATATAAATAAAATTATTTACTAGATTATACGATTTTTTTTATAATACATATCATATTTGCTCTTCTTGTTTTTTGAATTAAAGTCTTAGTAGCTTTTTTTATAGTCAACTATTAGTTTTAAAATACATATAAAATTATATTCAAATTATAGATTATAAAATAACTAACATATATAAAAAAAGTATGAAATTATATAAAAATTTATTAAACATGCCTAAATAAATGACCTTTCTTTAGTGATGTCTAATATAGCAAACAACTTATTTTTTACCACCAATTTTGTATTTATCCTCTTCTCCAACAACTCAAATCTCTATTAATTTACTAAATTAAAATATTAACTTTCTCTAATTATCCAACAACTTTTTAATTTCTGCTAAGGTAATTTTGCTTATATAAATTAACTTAAAAAATATTAACATATTTCAAAGATTTTCATTATTAAATTATAAAAATTTATGCAGTTTTCAAAATTGAATAATAATAAAGTTTGGTTTACAAACTTTATTATCATTCAATTTTGAAAACTGTATAAATTTTCATAATTAATTATACAATTTGAAAAATGTATAAAGATTATTCAATTATATCCAGAACCATATAAAGAATATAATGGAACAGTCATAGGAGCTATAGGAACATCTGACACATGAGATTCTCTGTCAGAAAGCTCAATTAGTGGCGCAGGATTCTCTACAACTTCTTTTGCCTTTCCTTTATCAATTGTTGGGCGTTGATCTGAATCAGATGACCAACAACACTTGTAAAGATCAGAATAACTTGAAGGTGTACCGGGAATCACATCTTCATGCTCGCCCTTTGATATCTTCATGACTATAACAAAACTAGATAAATTCTTAAACAGAGGGGTTCCGCTCGTAAGTTCCCAAAGTAAAACGCCTAAACTATAAATATCTGATCTCTCATCAGGTTTTATTCTGGTATTGAGAAAACATTGTGGTTCTGTGTATGCTAGCGTTCCTTGAACAGTTGAAATTGTTGATGTATCATTCATATCCTCTGATATCCCAAAGTCCGTTATCAGGATTTTATCGTCGTTTATTAATATATTTTTAGAATTCTAGAAAGAAATAATAAGTTATGAAAAACTGGTGAATTTTAATTTAATGTTGATTCATACCAGATCTCTATGAATGATTTTTTCTGAATGCAAATATTTCAATCTATTTGATAAGTTTATTCCACGCAATTTTAAATTTATTTTCCTGCCATTTTTCTTTCAGATAATCTCTTAAGTTTCCACCATTCGCAAATTGTAGTACCATTACTGTTTCTCCTGTTTGTGGATCTAAATTATGTAATTACAGCTGGTTAATAAAACTCAAAATTTATAGTTTATGATAATTGAAATTCCTTTTATACTGTACTTTTAGAGGTTCCATAGAATTTTACAATATTAGGATGATCAACTTTAAGAAGATGTTTAAGCTAAATATAGTTACATACATTATAAATTAAATGATTCTTTTGTGCCAAACTAAAATTATAAAATGTAGATATTACCTCACAAATGAATGTTTTCAACGCTTTCTCATCCAAATGTGGATTACTATTAAACCATTTTAGGGCGTACGTTTTTCCTTGGAAAACTGCCGAATAAATAGAGACAAATCCACCTATTCCTATAAATTGGAGATTTTTATACTGCGAATAATCAAAACTTTCTACATTAAATTCTTTTAGAATAATTTCCAATTGATTCGGGCAATGAGATACTAATATTATTTTAATATTTGAATGTTTTTAATATTTGAATGTTTTTAATATTTGAATGTTTTTAATATTTGAATGTTTTTTAATATTTGAATGTTTTTTAATATTTGAATGTTTTTAATATTTGAATGTTTTTAATATTTGAATGTTTTTAATATTTGAATTTTTTAATATATTGCATAGTTCAAACATGAATTATTAATCTTATTCATAGCTTACCTTTTTTTTCATAATCATAGTAATCACTTGAAATGCGATTTGTAATAATATCAACAGTCGTAAACGTCATGATTTCTACAAGTTCACTTAAAATTTGGTCCAGTGATGGACGTTGATCTGGATAAGAAGACCAGCATCTTCTGTAAAGATCTGAGTAACTTGAAGGTGTACCAGGAATTACATTTTCCCGGTCTTCTTTTATAATCTTTAAGATTATTTCAACATTAGATAATTTTCTAAATGGTGGTATTCCACTTGTGAGTTCCCAAAGTAACACACCCAAACTATAGATGTCCGATTTATCATCAAGTTTTTTTTCGTAGTGGAGAAAACATTGTGCGCTAGCATTCCTGAACGATTGAAGACTCAGAATCATCATCCATTCGCATCGACATATCTAGACCAGTAATTATATTTGATTATCATTTATTAGAATGTTTTTAGAATGCTAAAAGATTTAAAGGAAATAATTAAAATTTTGTAAAACTTAAGTTAAAATTAAAAAACAAGGAATACCAGATCTCGATGAATGATTCCTTCTTTATGCAAATATTGCAATCCTAGAGATATTTGTCTTGCAAATCGAAAAATATCTTGAAATGTAATTTTGAAAATTCCTTCATTCTGTTTATTTCGCAAATAATTCTGTAGGCATTCACCATTTGCAAATTGTAGCACAAGAAAATTGGTATTCTGCAAATCTAAACTCATTATTAACGTTAACGTTAATTAAATGTTTTGATTTTACTGCGCTTTCAGATTACTGTCAATTTTTATTCTATTGATTCTTTCTATTTTTCGAACTTTGAACGAAATATCACAATAACGGCCTGGTCGATTTAATGCTTAAATCATTTTTGATCCACACAACATTAACTTGCATGCGATTTGGAACCTATTGATCGATTGTGATTGTATTACATCAAGAGATCGATTATTTTAGGGATTGGTCAATTCATTCTCTAAGATCATTTGAAGCTCTTACATGTAAAAGAATATTTTTCTGCATCACAATCGACTGTAACTGTGGCGCAGGAAAGTACTATATTGCGTCAAACGATCTTTTGAGAATGATTTGTGACTAATCCTAAAATAATCAATCAGAACTCAGTCTCTTGATGTGATCGAACCACTTACCTTCGACACAATTATAATCGATCAATAGGTTCCAGAATTCGCAAATCGCAATACATATTGAAAACAGGATGTTACAGTAGTAAAGATATCTTCGTTCAAAATTTATAGAAAGTACAGTTAAAAAAATCAGAATTTTAATGCTGCTTTGTCAATCAACTACAACGTGTAATATACTAATTGATACTATACTAGAAAAATTAGTATACAATAGAGAATCTTTGGAAATGTTCAGATCACAGTAATTTGAGAACGCGATAAAAATAAAATTTTTTAACATACTTGAAATTCCATATAGCTTGATAATATTAGGGTGATCAAGATTGTGCATAGTTTTGATCTACAGAATTATAAATTATTACAGTAAATTGAACTTGAGAAGCCAATAAAATATAATATCTGATATATAATTATTACCTCATTTCTTATTCTTTTGATAGTTTTGTAATCAAAATCTTTATTATTTAGGCATTTTAATGCATATGTTTTTCCTTCAATGATTATGGGTTGGAAATTTCTATATTTCAAACAATCAAAGTTTTCGATCATAAATTCTTTTAGACCCATTTCTGACTGGTTTAATTATTTAAGTACAAGTGTTGCGTAAGTCATTACACCGCTAATATATTGCATAAAATGAGACACACTCAACTGTTATTTCTCTCAATAGCTTATTTAAATTCACGAATGATTCTTAAAGATAATAATATATATATTTTATTAACAGAACATTACAATATGCAAATTAATACAATAATTAGATTAATGAATACCTTTAATTCATCTGATATTTTCTGTGTATTGATCACTCTGCTATTGTACATAAAATCTGGATTTTTTGATGGGATAAATTGCAATTTTGTGGCTATTTTGTCAGCATCTATGAATTGTTTTTTAATTTCATTCACGTCGTCTGAAACTTCCATGCTTTTATTCCATTTTTCAAGTTTACTATAAATACCCCAAGAAGTAGGTCGTTATTGTGGATCAGAATTCATACATTGCTTAGCTAATCCGATATAACAATCCGGAGTTCCAGGAGCGAATTCAGGCCGCAACCCTTCACTGCAAGGTTAATATCAAATTCATATCCATCAAAAGGTCTTTTTCCAGTTGACATCTCTGACATAATGACCCCAAAACCATAAATATCAGCAGCTTGTGCAATCTTTTGACCTAACAAAACCTCCAGAGCTACATAAGGCATAACTCCATAAATATTACTTTCTAAATCTTTTTCACCTGTCTTTCTAGACAATCCTAAATCTGTGATATAAGATTGCATATTATTGCTAATGCCCCTATCTTGTAAAATATTACCACTGTGAAGATCTGCATGAATATATCCAGCTCCATGAATGTTACATAAATCCCATGAGATATCTCTAAGTAATTTTAATTTAGTCTTCCAGATAAGATCTTGAAAATTTTTTTTAAAAACTTTTGAAGATTTTCACTATCGGCATATTGAAATACCATCATGTATTCGTTTGTGTCTTTGTTTTGAGTTAATCCATATACCTTTAGACTACTGCCGTGCAATCTACATTTCAAATGATTGTCAAACTTTATAAATTTATATAAATGAATTGGTTCAATATATGTGTTTAATAACCTGTATCTGATATAATTAAGTGATTTAACTTACCTTTTTCAAATAATCAAAGGAATTTCCCTCAGAACCAGTCAAGGTCTTGAGTGCAACGATGCTATGATTCACGTGATCTCAAATATTTGCCACGAAAAATGCCTTCTTTAATATCAATTTTCATATACCATCTAGCCAAATTGCAGTAAATACTTTACCAAACCCTCCTTCTCCAATGTTTTTAACATCATCTAGTCTATCAAATGGAATCCATTCGATCACATGTTCATACGCATTGGCTCTAAGTTGAAACCCCTTCACGCAATTATCAATATCCTTATTTCCACTTGTCCATTCTCTAATTGTTATGTCAGGATCGCATGTCTGACACCATGCCTTATTCGTGTTATCTTTATCGCAATGCTTACATTTTCCATAATTAGAATTTCTTAATCATTATCGTTGTATTATATTTTCATATTAGTTATTTCATATTATTTATGTGACTCTTAAATTTCTTAAATTGGAATGCAAATAATTTTTATGCTTACCGACTAATTAATACAAATAAATGGTAACCCTTTATAAACTTGAATAGCTTATTTTATATTATTTAGATTAAAAATGTTCTTTATACTCACTCACTAAACGCGAATTAAATAGTAATGTTCATGAATTCGAAAAGCTTATTTTAAATACTTGTATTACAGTAAGAAAATAAAAATGCAATCAAATATTTATGAACCTGACATTAAGCGCATTTATGAATTACCCAAAATCTAAAAAAATTTGAATAAATATTCTTGAATTTTACTAAAACGCACCTATGGTGGTTTTACACCGAGTATATAGTAAAGTAGTACAGTACGGTAATACAAGTTAGTACGGACTTTCAAAAAAAATAAAAAGTTTTTACT